ATTCTCCTCACTCCGCCCACATCGAGGTCTTCCTGATCGGGGTTTGTCCTTTACGGATCCGGTCTCCATAAACTTCCGGTGGGTGGCGACGATGGTGTTCCTATCAGGTGTGTAATGCTGTCCGTAGACTGCCCTGAATCGTCGCTGCACTTAGACTACGGATTGAAAAACTTCCTGCAATGGAACAATTTTACATCTCTGCTCTAGAGTCAGCATTGTAACAGAAAAAAACGGCGTAGAACTTCAAATGTAGACTCCAAAAAATTATCAAGCACTTAGTAAGAGTTTACCACAAGATGAATGTCGTTGGTCGATTACCTGCAAAGAAAATTGAAACTTAAATTAATGAGGGACTTTTGAAACACCCTGTATTTCTCGAAAATAGTTTCCATGCAGAGCCCTGAAACATGAAGGAGACAAGCTGGTTGTCCCCTGTCTTAGGTGAATATATTTTGCTTCCCCAAAACACCGTAAATGGTGTACGCTTCCAGTCAAGTCTATCCAGATGATGTTAATAAATATGCTTGCAGATCTGGTATTTGAGTAGCAGCTTCCAAAGTTTTAAAAAATTATTCAAAGTTTCTTGAATTTTCATCAGTAAATGCAGCTCGCCTGTTGCACTGCTACATACTATAGGTCTTCTCACTGATCATCTGGAAACTAATAAAATGCTGTTTCTATTGTCTAAAGTATAACACCCATTGGACGGAGTCGCATTACCGAAGCTTCATATTTATAATGAATGCAATTTCCTGTTTTATCACACTCATTCCTAAAATGTGGAATATATTGTCACTGAAACAACTGCAGATGTTAACCATTTGCGGTCATATTTATTTTCCACTCGTTGTCGCCTCAGGTCATATTTAATTTCAATGAAAAAGACGAAAAACACATTTCAACAAAATAAATGATTAATTCAGACATTACTTTTAAATAATCACATTAGACTTAAATTTATTTTTATTTTTGAAGTCCGAACAAAGGACGGCGGGCAAAAATGATATATTTCTGATGTAGGGTGACACCCGACATATGACCGGAACTAATCTTTTTTACTGTCGGGTCCTGCCCGACACATGACCGCAAAGGGTTAAATAAGAGAGAGTAAATTCATAAAATAGCTCATCTAGCATAGCACAATAATCCTATTCGCTGTTTCAGTGTCATTGTAATGCCTACACATCATTTGCCTGTGATCACACACGTTAACGATGGCACTTCCCCCTCAAAAACTCTGTGAACAATTTAACCTCTCAAATGGAAAACTCATAAACTCGAATTGCTACATGCTTTAATGTGAAAGGGAAGAGATAGAATGGTTTTGAGATATCAGAGTAGCGATGTCTACCAATGAATGACATTATAATATTCCACTGTATTCTCATTCACTCAAAATAGGAAGCTACATTTAATCCGTTGGATACACCCAAAATGAGGAAATAATTGTTAATTTATGTCTTAGATCCATCTTTGCCAGCAGTTGCATTGCCCACCTCAGAAGGTCGAAACCATCTATGGAAAAATACGCGAGAGGCAGTGCGATATATATACAAGCATCACAGGGACGACGCAGACTGGTTCCTGAAGGCAGATGACGACACCTACGTCATCATGGAAAATCTTCGTTACATGCTCATCAAACACGATCCCAGGGAGCCGGTGTATTTTGGATGTCGCTTCAAGTTTCCACTGGCGCACACCCAGGGGGGTTATATGAGTGGGGGACCAGGTTAGATCTTTTAACTAGATAAGTCTCTAGCTTTCCCCTCTAAACTTCAAAATATACTATGTTAATGGGTATTATTTGATATTTCAGGTTATGTCATGAGTCGAGAGGCTGTGGAGCGATTCGTGGAGAAGGCCCTTCCCAATCCCGCATTATGTCCTCCATTGCAGAAGGATGAGGATGTCGGAATGGGTTTGTTACATGTGTTTTTTACATTGAACATGTTGGAAATGTAGTACTAGAAAGCAAACTCTAGAAGTGCATGCTAATGTTAATGATGAAAGACGTGCACATAGAAATAGTGAAATGACTAGTTCAGAGGGATGGTATGCACTTCACGTGAGAAGAGATAAAATTGTCAATACTACGGGCAGTTCAGTAAAGTGGAGTAAAGCATTCCACTGGCCGTTAAGAAAGTCTATGGTCCTGTCTAAGCATTTGCTCATGTCAGCAAATGTGCTCATCGGTTTCGGTGGGTCTGTATGTATCACCCATTTGTCATGTCCTTCCTGTTCCGTCATTCGCCTCTTACAAGTACTCACATCGTTCAAATCATCACCAAACATCCTCTGCGAAAGGATGTTCAGTACAGTGCGTGTCTTACTTGCTATGCCTTCCCTAATCTCTGTCCGTACAGTTTTATTACTCAACTAGTTCAAACTTTGTAATTTATCCAAGGTCTAAGCAGTATTATTAGGCATTATCTCGAATCAGAGTGACTATCAAAACATTATTAGGACGTTGTTGTTCGAATTCTGGCTCCAGAAGGAGGATGAATCCATGTAACTGTAATTTCGTCCTGTGTACCTCATTTAATCTGGTGTCCAGTAGCTGTCAGTGTTTCGACTAATGTGCTTCTTCATCCATCCTATTCTTCATGACTAATTCGCCTTCTGCATGATGATCATCGCTACTTAGGACTCTTCTGCGTTCACAGCAAGTTCATTGCCTTCACTTTCAATGGAGCTGTCTGGACCATGGAGAACATGGACCAGGTTGACACTTTCTTCGTGTTGAACCTATAGGACATTTGGTAATAAGTTAAGCACATGCTTCTGTGTCCGACGTACATCTTCGCTTGTAAATTGAATTGTCTTCAACTTCATGTCTTCAATTCCAATTCCTTCAATTCCAAAATTCAATAGCATGTTTGATACTCATTGGTCATTAAATCAGCTGGTTTTCCCATATGTGTGGTGAGAGTTGATCCAGAGCTATGGTGATCCTGATTAGCGCCTAATTTGTTCTCGTTCCTTTTTTCTTAGTGTCAGGTAAAAGGGTAACTCAAGTCCATATTGAGGCAACCCTTAGGGTTAAAATGGGTATTACTATATAAGCGTCCGTCTGAGGACAATTACATTCATTCATACATCCGTACAACCAAGCAAAACACTCATACATTCTAGGTGGAACTCAATCACTGTCCCATTCTATGCACGAAAAATAACAAAACATATAAAGACACCTCTTCACACCTCCTCGAGACATACAGCGCAATATGGAAGAAATAAATACTCGTATGAAACTGTCGTTTTCGAGATGCCAAGACGCCATAACTAAGAATTTTTCTGTTTTCGGATTCTGTTTTTTCGTTCTCATTCCTCGGAGAAATTTTCTATCGGCAAAAGCATGCTCCAGTTTTTGGAGGCTAATATGGTCCACCTTTTTGCGGAGTTGCGCATGGTTTCCTCCTACCGTTTCCCCTCAGTGTTCGGTGATCCGCCTGAAAAATCCACTTTTTTGTAAGGGACGCGACGTTGACGGACAATACTCGAAAACGAGGCTGAAATTCAAATATTCCTCTGGTAGATCTCTTTAAAATTCTCTTTGCTGGCTTAATATAAATTTTAATGAGAATCCGTCCACTATCCTAGAACCCTATCGATTTTCCCTGCGGCGTCTTTGACGATTTAGGTCATTTCTTCCTTTCTGGGTTGATTTTCTCTTCTCACCGCCCAAGAATGCAGGATTTTTTGTGCCTATGCCATAGAGGGATGTTTCACGGATCCAATGACACCATTATTGCTTACTGTCTCCAAAGGCATTCCTCGTGAAAACATGGGTGCGGATTAATGTATTTCGGCACGGTTGTTAATTTTGGGGGCATTAAAATGGAGACAGGAAACAAAAATTCACAGGAATGAATGAATCAGGTCATAAAACTTCATAAGGAATCCAAATTATCCTACGCAACGAAGGGAAAGCTCAAAGGAGCATAATACAAACAAATTAATAGACATAGGTGCTTTTAAATATTTCCTCCCCTCATTCTCTCCGAAGGAACGAAGGAACTTTCTGATATTTTTACGGAGGGAGGAACGGAAAGGCCGAAAGAAAGCCAAGGAACGCCGGGGAATGCCATCCTCATCCGTCACAATATTTTCCATCTCCGAGACTTGGAAAAAGGACCTAATCGGGATGAGGAATTAGTTCAACCCTTTGGACCGAGTACCCTCAAAACGAGTACAATATATTTCGAAATGACTATGAAAATTGGCTGCCGAATCATGCGCGAATGAGTTGAGTCTCCTCTGACCAAGAACGATTTGACTGAGGCCATGTTGTAGCAATCGACCGCGTTTCTCCTGCATGCCTCTTTCATCGTCTACGATCACGAGCTGCTTTCCTCAGAGTCAATGGAGTGATGAAATAACCAGATAACACCTACATCGCCTTTCCAGGTGAACCGGTAGGGTTTGGTAGGAATTACAGGATTTTTCCCAGTTGTGCTTCAAATGGCCTGCATACTGTACGAAGCGTGATCCTTCCTTCCCTCNATTCGCGCATAATTTAGCTGTCATTTTTCACAGTAGTTTGGAAAGATCAGTGCAAATAAAAAAGAATAATTATCCTCATTCTTAAGATACTTTGGTTCCAAGATTCAAACTATCTAAAACTGAAAATTTATTCGCGTTGATTTTCCAATGACTCCCAAGTATTACCTTTAAACTTTGAAGGCAGTTTCAAATTGGAGGCAATGTCCATGCAAATATCCACGCTATTTATTTGTGTCTTTCCCAATAAATCAGGAATGACAGATGAGATAGGTCAGGGGTAACGGGAAGAAATTTCCGCACTATGCATTCCGCTCTCTAATCCGTCAGAGCAACATCAATAATTTTCCATCAATATTTAGAAACTCTGAGGAAGATGATGAGACCAATTAAAAAAATTTTCATGGAGAGATGTTGATGTGAGCCTCTGGAGAGACCCACCCAAATCCTGACCCATCCGACTTCATGGGCTAGACTGGGATTTCCCCGAGGGGATATGGGCAGAAATCATGATACTTCAGGCGTCAACATTTCCGAAATTTGCGGTGATTTTTCGCACAAACACCCTAGGAGGCATTAAAGCCCGGTCAAATGAAGGTGGAGGCAGCAGTCCTACTAGAAACGGCTCGCTTGGCATGAAAATTCCATGGGAATATTGATATCTCTTACAAATTATAAATGCGCCACTGCAATCCAGAAATTTGTCTCCATGGAGTAATCAAAGGACATTTCATGTATTAGGCTATGAAGGTAAAAAAAACATGAAAAACCCTTGGGAGTAGCGTTTTTTTCTCGATTTCTAGCACATTTCGTTACTTTTCTTCGAAATGGCCTGTTCAAGGCGCATGAGCTTTGGTATACAGTTCAACCAAGAGGCATTTTAAAGTCGTATGGATGATCATTTCAGTGGTGGAAATGATAGTCATGAAATTGGTTTGAAAATTCGAATTCTTCGTATTAGTGGCTCGTGATCTATTACTTTTGAAATAAGCTTCAATCTTTCCGTTTCAAATTCAATAGCTTCATATTTCGATTTCGCTTTTTTGGTGTTCATGTGGCCAACTGTTTCCGATTTGTATTTTGATTCGACCTGTCAAACGACTATGAAGCAGCAAATTTAGCAAGGAAGTATGGCTAACTATTCGTCGAAGGTGACGAGAGCAACCATACTCAGTACTTCTCTCTCGACCCAACAATACATTTATTCACATATCTTGAACCCCAGAGAGTTTTCTCTTCAACAATCTGAAGCATGCCATAAACACACTCAGATTTAAACCCTTTCCAAAGAGAAAAGGGACTGAGCAAATATGCAAAATTTTCAAGAAAGGGAGATGTGTGGACATAGCTATCTGAAGGGAGGAGTGGGGATATAAGTTGCCAAATTTCCTTTGCGAACATCACAAATTCGATTTATCATTACCTAGAATAACAGGCAGCTCATCAAAATCGTCATCCTTGGAGCCTTAGGCTGTGTACCGCCTGCACAAGGATTGATACCGAAAATACACGAGTCAAAGAAATAATTAATTCCCCTTAGTATCCCACAGGAAGAGCGGCGGCCCTAGTTTCCATTGAAGGTCAGTGGCAGGAGCCAGTGAGAATGGCAAAATGAGGAAAGAGACAGGCGAGGGGGAAGTGCCTGAGTGCGAAACAGTCTCGTGGCAGACGAAGGAACATGGGAGAGTGAAGTGGGAGGGAAGTCAAAGAGGGAAGAGCTGCGCGCGAGCATTCAAAGTTTCATGCAAATCGGTAATTAAAGCCTCGCAATCTCTATCCCTTTGGAGACAGTAAGCAATCTTGGTGTCATTGGATCCGTGAAACATCCCTCTATAGGATAGGCACAAAAAATCCTGCATTCTTGGCCGGTGAGAAGAGAAAATCGACCCGGAATGGAAGAAATAACCTAAATCGTCAAAGAGGCCGCAGGGATAATCGATAGGCTTCTAGGATAGTGGACGGATTCTCATGAAAATTTATATTTAGCTAGCCAAGTGAATTTTAAGGAGATCTACCAGAGGAATTTTTAAATTTCAGCCTCGTTTTAGAGTATTGTCCGTCAACGTCGCGTCCCTTACAAAAAAGTGGATTTTTCAGGCGGATCACCGAACACTGAGGGGAAACGGTAGGAGGAAACCATGCGCAACTCCGCAAAAAGGTGGACCATATTAGCCTCCAAAAACTGGAGTATGCTTTTGCCGATAGAAAATTTCTACGAGGAATGAGAACGAAAAAACAGAATCCGAAAACAGAAAAATACTCAGTTATGGCGTATTTGCGACTCGAGAACGAGAGTTACATGCGAGTATTTATTTCTTCCATATAACGCTGAATGTCTCAAGGAGAATGGTGCAAATTTCACGTTTCTGCGACCGAGGGTTGGGGAGATGGAGCTTTTCAAAGAGATGCATGCAAATT